CTTAGATAATAAAAAGTGCTTGTCAAGAATATCAGAATCTAGAATTCATGGAGAATTATGTATGATTAAATTTTTTAAAAGTTAGTTTTAGTGGTTACCCATATTAACTGCTCGAGAGAAGACAGGAGGTAGCCAAGGAGCCTAGGCACCACGGCATTTAGCCACTCCTTGTCTTCAAACCTGACTCTAATTTCAATGTAGCATTAGGTACCCTACGGTCATGATCCAACGCACATGCTTTAAAAACAGCAGCACCCTCTGATGCCGCCTGGCTTTCAAGAATGACTCTGTGAAGACCCAGGCAATGTGAATGGCCTGTGGGAGACCAGTCACTCCTGTTGTGTCCAAACGGACCTCCCTAAGAAGACGAGCCCTTATTAAAAAAATCAGTCCCTGTGCCACTTTCCAATTCTGGGGACCTGGCCTTTCTGACCAAATGCAATCTCACCCCCTTGCTCAGGCCACCCGTGAGAGGGCTACAAGTGGCAAAACTGCCTTTGCTATCCTAAATATTAGCTATTGAAGATCTGACTGTATAAAGAGCAGGTCCCTGTTTAAAAACAAACAAACAAACAAACAAATAAAATCAGCCAGATGACTATCTTTTGCGTATTTGTTTACTAAAAACCAAAGCACATTACTTGCATGCAGGTTAAAAAGTAAGATGACATTTATTTTGCACTGTAGAAACACTGGAAATGAATGAGCCAAAAAAACCAATTCCCATGGCTCCATGCAAGAAAAAAGTAAACACATCGCCACTTTCTCTGGAAAAGTTAAACCACCATAATTGATCGTAGACCCTAAAAGTAGCTGCCTGCCAACATGTCAGTCATTTGAACCACCGTCAAAGATGAAAAGTAAAAATATACAAATCACATCTCATAATTAATCAAGGAAAATCGGGATCTATTTAAGCTATTCTAAACTGTAGAGCTTCACACTTTCAAGTTTCACAGTGATTAATTGAACACCATTTCATTGTTAAAACTGTCACCTTAAACACACATGTCAAAGTGCTTCAAATGCAGCATACTAGTTAAAACTCCTGGAAGGTTCTAGTACTGGCAGCTAACCTAATAAGGTTGTTCACCCAGAGGGTGTTCAAGAAAGGGCATGCTGCCTTATAAAGAAATCTCATAGGACAAAGAAGATTCTAGTCTGACCTCGAAATTTCCTAGAAGTAGAGTACTCAATCACGTCCAGATCTGAGGTCAAGAGAAAGGCCACTCTGAACACAGGAACCAACACAACCAAAGATCTCCGTACCTGTGTTTGGCTTCTTTGGAAACCCAAGGTCAACGTTAATCTAGCCCATCAGGTTTACTTTGTCTCCTCTGGCCCGTTCCCAGTCCTTGACTGGACAAGATTTCTAAAGGCAATCAAGGAGATTTGAATGTGGCAAGATCTGGGGCAACACAGCAGGTGGGCCTCTCTGTCCTAGGCAGTGGCTAGTTAACGTGAAACCCAGGTGAAGACTGGAGAGGAAGAGTTACAGACTTCTAGTTAAAATATAAGGGGGAAAGTAGCCTTTGATTCAAGCACCTTCAGGTTACCTTTTTATTCTCCATAGGTTACAGAATCAAAGTCTGCTTTGGACAACAAGGTACATTCCCAATGCTTTATGACTAACTACAAAGTACACTAATTCTTTGTAAATTAAACAATTGGGAAACTTTCAAATTCACAGCTGAGTCCAAAATTAGTGGAGGAATGATGAGCTATAGTGTGACAATTTTAAAATATGCATTACACTTAAATCATTGGCCCCATGGGCGTTAGGCATTAAGGTGATCCCTACTTATCCTTAAAGGATGTATGACACGTTTTTTGTTTTTGTTTTGTTTTTGCACATTCCCCCACTGCTCAGGTTCTAATTTGGAATTTGATACATTCCTCTCCTGACAGCTCTATATTAAAATAAATGATGTGTTGGTAGTAGTACCTAACATTGTAGACCATAATCAGCATTTCTTTTTAAATTAGAATTAAAAGTACTTTTACATTAGAATTAAATTAGAACTAACCAAGATATTATTCAATGTCAAGGAAGATTATTTAGTTTTCTATTTGGAAGTTACTCTAGTACCCTGAAGGCTAAAACCCATAAACTATATTTATTACATATTAGTGGAGGAATGACGATTTAAAATGTAACAAATTTAAACTGTGTGTTGCACTAAGATCATGTTATTGAAGTTCACAAAAGGCAGCATTAACATTCTGTATCCAGGTATTTTCTAATTTTTCTATCTCGTGCCCCCCTCAAATATAGCGGAATTCTTTTCTGACAAGCAAGAAAGGGCATTTTTCATACCAGAACCTGAAAAGAAACTTCTCTTACAGGTTAGGTAACTTTGGTCAGTAGAAACACAAAGTAAACCTCTGGCCTGGCTAAGGCACTCTATTCTGAAATGTACAGAAAACATGTAGGGGTGACCAACCATCCCATTGTTCCCCCAAAAGGCAGCTCAGTGTATGCTGGCAGAAAGGCTATGTCGTGGTAACTGGCATGACATAAATGCACAGAGCTATTTGTAACTAAGTCCTGCTGCAGGCACCCCATCACCACATAACAAACGGGGCCTTTCAAGATGCACTTGAAGATGGCAGGCTACACCAAGAACAAGTCAGCAGCACACTCCAGAGGCACAGTTCACGATGTTCTGAGACAGTTCATCCAAGTTTTACTTTCACCTTGCTGAGAGTCCCTTTTCTTTCCTCTAAGGATGTCGATAAAACTGACGATGGCACCATTCTTTACCACCAGAGGGGAATAAGTCATAAAGTATAGGCACAAAACAATTCTCAAATGAATTTGATGCAATAGAAAGAGCCGAAACACACTTTGAGGTAAAAGCCCCCAAATGACAGGACGGGACCTTATGCCAGAGAGAGGGGTATTTTCTTGCTGTACTATAAGTGAAGGAAGCCTATGGTCCAATGTGTCATTTTATAAATACATATCCGGTCCTTTCCGATAGAGTACAGATTAACCTCATTCTTGTGCACAAGGTCAACAGAACAGTGAAATGATTACCTCAGAAACCTTAAAACAAAGCTCTGTTCCCAGCCCAAAAGAACACTTTCCCCAGTTTTACAGATGACACGGAACAAGGTCTACCGAGAAGAGCCTTTCTCTCACTTAACTGATTCATTCTCTGACCTCGATGATGGCAACTTATCAACAAACATGGAATCACTACCCACATTTTCCGGCATCACTTTCTCACCAATTTGCGGTGTTCATTTTTGTCTCAGATAAAGTCACTGAATATACCTCAACCTTTACAAACATTTTTAAAAATGAGTACAGAACCATGAGATCAGTTCCTTGGCTCTTCATTTTTAATGACCTAGATGACAATTATTAGAATTTATAAATTTAGGAACTGAAATATCAATTATATAGTTATTTTTTACAAAATAGCAGACAGAAGTTCAACAAAGAAATACACTATATAATGAAATTTTAAAATAGTCACATTCCCAGATAAATAATGGTTATGAACTTAATTACATATCAACACAGTGGTGCCTATTTTATCCAAGTGCAATCCATCCAAAAACAGGGTTTAAGATACACTCTTCATTCAAGCACAAACTTCATTCAGTGAAAAATAAAAGAAAACCAGGGAGTAAATTTCACCACCACCAAAATTAAAGGGACACAAAGTAAAAAGAAGAAGGAAATATCCACATTCATGGAAAGGTGTGAGCTATCAAATAACCACATTAAAGTCAAAGAGATTTTGATGCTTGTCTGTAAACCTCAAAAACTGTTCCAAGTATTATTAAAGAGAGTATGTACTCAATAAGGCATATATTTAAAAAAAATTCAAGTGGGAAGGCGGGCAAGCTGGAGTAGAGTTTCTTCTCTCTACCTCTTTATCCTAAATAAAATAAGAAATTTAAAAAAAATGCACAGCACTCTCTCCTCTACAAATAGAGGAAGGAAGGAAGGAAGGAAGGAAGGAAGGAAGGAAGGAAGGAAGGAAGGAAGGAAGGAAGGAAGGAAGGAAGGAAGGAAGGAAGGAAGGAAGGACAAACTGAATTACAAAACTCATTTCATAGTGAGGTTCATGAGAGTCCTAAGCCAAAGTAAATTTCTCCAATAAGGAAGTTCATCTGTGTTCCTCGCAAGTAGTCACCATCAGACTCACACTGGAACGTGCATTCACTTAATCAGTTCTCAGGCACCAAATCTCAGCATCTTAGAGCTGAGGGGGGAAATGCCACATTTAAACAATGAACCATGCCAATGGGAGAGATACAATTCCATTCCATTCTCTACTGAGTCTCAATAGAATATTTTTCTTTAAAAAGAAAATTAAACCATTGACAAAGCTCTGCTCCATAACAAAGAGAGCCAGAATATTAGAGAATCTAAACATATATCCTAGCTCTCTTAACACATGAGGACAACGGCATTTCCGTGGGAAAGAGAAACCAGTATATTGGCAAACCGGTATATTGTCCTGAAGTCATTTGGCATCTCTTACTGAAAGTGACTTGCTCTTATCTTTTCCTGATGTTAGACGCGGACTACTGATAGCTTCCGGAACTAACGACCCATCACTGAGTACCAAATACAAAACCATATTGTGGTTTTCTGAACATCATCAGTGTTTTAAAACAATTTGGGGGTGTTTTAAATAATAAAAAATAAAGCATCTTCAACTCTGTATGAACCAAAACATTATGGACTCATGAAGTTAAAATCACTGGAAACATTTTGCTGGTCTAATGTACATTAGGCTTCACCAAAACATCACATGGTTTAATAAAAAATAAAATAAGGTGGGAGTTAGTAGGTTCAAAATTCCACTTTTCAGATTAAATATATCATTTTTGCTGTACAAGTACCACACACAGAGTTCCCATGTCTGTTAAGCAGATCAGTTTAGTTCAATGGTGATAGATGAAATATTTACAAGCATCATATTTACAGTTCTTCTTTCTGTAGATTACAGGCCAATATTGTTTTCTTCCATTCCTAGTCAATCTGAGTTGGGTTTTCTTAATGAGAACGGATAAATCTGAAAATGGTTGCTCAGTTGCTTTACCTATATAAAACCAGAAAAGGAGACAGTGACAAATATGAACTAATTATTTATTTCTTTTAAGCACACAGAATTCACCCTCTGAAGACAACAATTTACTGACATAGCAAAAATCATCAGACATAATGAAGGTTTTTCTGGGTTAGTATAGCTATGGACCTGGATGGCTAAATAAGAGTACTAGACCTATCTTCAGAGAGTTAGGACTTAAACCTGGTTCTCCATTGTCCTAGTCTTTCCAAAGCCCTCCAGACCATACAGATTAACATCAAATCTACTGAAAAATTATAAGGTTAGTAGATTTAAACCAGCTAGTAGGTCAAATATTTATATATATATATATATATATATATATATATATATATATATATATATATACACACACACATACACTCAATATTCAGCTTTCTATAACATTTCTTGGTAATCATTCCTAATCCTGATAAAAGAGTTTAAAACTAGATCTGTACACATTTGGGGAGGTTTAGGACATAGTAGGGCCATGATTGGCAAACTGGCTCACAAGCCACATGCGGCTCTTTGGCCCCTTGAGTGTGGCTCTTCCACAAAATATCACAGCCTGGGCGGGTCTATTTTGAAGAAGTGGCGTTAGAAGAAGTTTAAGTTTAATGAGTTTGCCGACCACTGAGTTAGGATATCACAGGGGTTTGCAAGAGCTTATTTATGTGTCAGTTAGTAAATGTAATTTGTTTGATATTTCTTACTTCTTTTTTTATTTGTATTACTAGTATATTTCAATGGTTCAAGTGAATGTTTTATATAACTTAGCAAGTTTTACTTCCTGGTCAGAAGTTGTAGAAGTGGTAAGAGAACATGAAGACAGATAAAAAAAGACACTCCTATAATTTCTTTCAGTTAGCTTATATCTATTTTCCAGATTTTAATAAAGGAAATGTAAAGAAAAATATGTTTTGGTTTGGTTTGGTATATGTATGATTTTCTGAAGATATGCTTCTGAAGGGTTATAATAAATTAAAACGATTACAAAAGACATTGGCAGCCTGGCCAGCACGGCTCAATGGGTGAGCATCGACCTCTGTACCTGGAGGTCCTGGTTCAATCCCCAGTCAGGGCACATGCCTGAGGTTGCAGGCTCCACCCCCAGTGGGGGACATGCAGGAGGCAGCCAATCACTGATTCTTTCTCATCAGTGATGTTTCTACCTCCCTCTCCCTTCCTCTCTGAAACCAATAAACATACATATATTTTAAAAAAGACCTGGGCAACTGTGTTCTACATCATGCATATGCTTGATGAAATATCAGGATAAAAGGCCTACAAATGCTGCTATAGAGCATAATGTTAAATTTGCACAAATAACAACACAGACAATTATGTCTTCATTTTATAATTCATAGAGTTATGATTTTTTTCCCTAACAATTTCATCGATTTCCTCCCAACAGATGTGGGCTCTGCTGCGGAGAAACATAGGGGGGAAAAGCCTAAATTTAACAACATATGCAAAGTATAAAGTTGTTATCAAGCATGACAGGCGCCCCTCACTTTAGAACTATGAACAACAATCTATAATTGTTTTTTCAAACTGTTTCACAGCAGGGTTCCTTTCAAAACAAGCATACCAAATAGAAGTCTTAAGAGACATAATAAGTCTTAAGAGACATAAAAATGTGAATAGCCTTCTATATAACCCCACTCCTATGAAAGTATCTTCAGAAAATAAAGCAAATGAAAGAAAAAATATTACTCCAGATTGTTCAATATTATTTGTAATGGTGAAAATTTGGAAACAATCTAAATAATTAAAAAACTGAATCATAATTTAGTAAATTGGGTTACTATTTAGCAATTTCCTTGATAGAATATGCTATACTATTTAAAGATCAAAATTATGTACATACTAAAATATGTAAAATAATTAGAAAAGAATGCTGAAGTGTGATGAAAAAAATAAACAAACTGCATGGTTCTGATTTTCATTTTATTACATCAATCTTGGTCCATTTGTCCTGAAACTGAGACAGGCCAGCAAGCCAGGACAAGTAGAACAGGGAAACTAAGACAGCTGAGCAAACTGACAGCAATTTACAGGAGATACAGAAGGTCCCTCCCTAGAGAGAACATCTAGGCCTCAGCAGCGGTATTTCAGCTCCAGGCCTTAAAAGCAGCCAAAATCTGTGGGACCAGACCACGGCAATGACCAATGATCCCTGGCCCTGACAGTGACCGATCAGTGGAGACCATGACCCTGAAGGAGCACACCTAGAAAACGGGTGAATATTCTGCTGAAACCATCCCCTGAGATTCCCGCCTGCAAGAAAGAGATAAAAGCCTCAAGCCAAAGAACCTAGCTCCCCTCTGGGGAGCAGCTCCCCTCCATTCCCTTCCCTCCCTTCTCCCCCCTCAGGCATGTATCTCCTAAGGGGGAAGGCACCCAGGAGAATTATAACCTAGGAAGCAATGGGCAGCGGCAGCTCATCCCAGGATGACCCTGAGCCTGTTCCCAGCCCCCTTTCCTCTGATCTCCCGGAGAGCCACCAGAGCCCGCCGAGGCTCTGCTGGTGCTGCTCCTACACTAATAAGCCCTTCTTTGTTTTACTGTCCCCGGCTTTCATCAAGGTTCCTCAGTCACCTGGACTCGTGTTGTGAAATTTTTCCTAGATGAAGTCAATAACCCACACTACATGCCTGCCCTAGGCAGGCCCGCTCAGGGCCAGGTCCCTCGACCCAGAGTCAAGGTTAGTCTCTTATTTTTATTAGAGAATATTATGGTTTGCATATTTCTTAAATCCTTTCTCTTCTATATTTCCCCTCATTTATTATTTCTCCCGATGAGAACAAAAACAGCATAGATTAAGTAAAACTTCAAATAATGAAGTCCTAAACTCCTTACCACATGCAGGGGGAGGAGAGACGGAGACAGTGCTACAAAACCAATTTCAGTTTCTCTCCAAAATAATATTAATGAGCAATAAAAATGCCCCTAGTGCTAAAGTATGCAGAAAAATAATCAACAAATGGGATTATCTCATCCTATATAATTAAAAGCACAAAAGAGTTTATAATTCTATGCAACAAGAAAATGTTTTACATTTCTATCGACTTAAGAACTCCTTATAATTATCCAGCTTTTAAATTATTTGTATTATAACATACTCATTAGAGAAACAATATATAAAATGAAACACCTGGATATTATAAAACATTTAGAGAATATACCAAAATTTTTCCAGCTACTATAATAAGCAAAATTTCATTTACAATTTTCCCTCACCTTCTTTCTTTTTATAAGAACCAAATGGCACCAATTTTAATTAATTCTCAATTACTCACCACTCGTACTCCATAATGGATGTGGGCCAGAGTGAAAGCCGCTGTTATTGTATAGAGGAGAATACTCTCAATGTAAGAGGAGACTCCTAAGTTTACCACCATGACAACCAAGAAGAGAGGAATCAGCAACCAATTCAAAGTTGGACATCTGGTATTGCTCATTTGACAAACAATCAGCTGACACTTGTAGTGTAAAAAAAAAAAAAAAAAAAGAAAATGGTGGGGAGGGAATAAAAATTTAATTAGCAAAACACTTCCAAAATGTGTCACACCAACATTTAAGAAGGATTCAAGCACCTGAGCCAACACATTTACATTACATTAAGTTCAGTAGTTCCAATGATCAGATCAGGGGACAACTGGATATTTGCCCCCACCTTCAAACCTGTTGACCCGCAGACCATATGCTTGTGAGAAGAGTGTAGAAAGGATGCTATAGAAGGCATTCTTCTACCAGAGAACAGTTTGGGTAAAAGTTTCTCCCAATTCTAAGACTCCTTGTGACTTTAAAATTTTTTTCAAAACAGCCTCTCACGCCCTAGCTGGTTTGGCTCAGTGGATAGAGCATTGGCCTGCAGACTCAGGGGTCCTAAGTTCGATTCCAATCAAGGGCATGTACCTTGGTTGTGAGCACATACCCAGTGGGGAGTGTGCAGGAGGCAGCTGATCTGTGTTCCTAACTCTTTCTCCCTCTCCCTTCCTCTCTGTAAAAAAATCAATAAAATATATTTTTTTAAAAACAGCCTCCTACACCCCCAACACAACTAAATTTCTCATATTACCATATTAACACCTCAAACCTCTCTGGCTCCTTTACTTTCAATATCTTAATCAAATACAATTTTATTCACTCGGAAATACTTTTATACATGGAAACATAAGCTCAGTGACTAAGTAAGAAAATAAGAAACTTGTTAAGGACCTGGCCTGAGCAGGAGAACAAGGTTCCTGGCTCCCAAAACTATCAGGGTCTTTTCTCAGCTCCTAATTTTTAAAAATATGTTTTATTTGTTAACTAACTTATAGTCCCATGTACTTAATTTAAAAATCAGTTGGTTAAAAATATGTGTGGGAGGAGCTATCGGCAGTCTCATTTCAGATCTCCCAGTAAATTCTCGCTTTAAGTTCTCCCTAAACTAATCATTAGATTTAAAGCCATTTCAACGACACTGTTAATAATTTTTACAGTCTGGAGGGCATTTATAAATTATTCCATGAATTCTTCAGCAGGCAACCAAAACAAAAAGCTCAAATAAGCTATGATTCCAAAATACTATTGCAGTCTCTAAACCTTATTGATTTCAAAGGAAAAAAAAATAATAATATAACCTCAGCATGTTCTGTCTTTGAGATTATTATTTTCTCAAATTTTGAATGAAAATATCTTTAAATTAATATCTGCTTATTCTAATCTGTATTAGGTTTCTCAAATTATCAACTGTCATAAAGTCTTTATATATCTTATGATTTTTAAAAGAAAAAATCTTACTGTGATATTGGCAAAGGCTGTTCCAACCATAAAGTAGAATACTCTAGGATGCATCTCTAAAATATCAGAAGGTGACTGGAGGATCCAGGCTGTAGACAAAATGAATAGCAAACATGGAGAAAAGAAGGGGACCAGAGCTTCATAGATTGAATTGTGTTTCAAGCTGTTACTTTTATAGCTTCTGGGGGGGAAAAAAAAAAAAATCAAGTAATACAAAGAGCATTATTACATATAAAACTTATACTTTATCTTATAGTTTTAAAGTACTTTCAGACTTATGCCCTAATTTGATACTCACCACAGTCCTATGGCATAGGTAACAATCAACATTATTAACCCCATTTTAACAGACAGGTTAAGTGAAGATGTGAAAATTTAAATTTACACAACTTGCTACCAAGTGACAGGGCCAGAACTTCTGACCTAGTCCCATTTTTACACCTGGAATGTGAAGATGAATTTTTAAAACATCCAATACCTGACTATTTAGTCAGGGGCACTGACCACTTTTCCCTTAGGTTGTCAAGTTAAAAAATGACAACCTGCCCGGCCGGTGTGACTCAGTTGTTGAGTGTCAACCTATGAACTAGGAGGTCACCATTCGATTCCCTGTCAGGGCACATGCCTGGGTTGGGGAGCTTCATCCCCAGTGTGGGGCGTGCAGGAGGCAGCCGATATATGGTTCTCTTTCATCATTGATGTTTCTTTTCTTTTTTTTTTTTTATGTGGGATGGTTGATCTTGAGCCTGCAAGGAGCAAGCTGGCTCCAGACTTCTCCAATTCCACATTTCTTTGCCTCCAGTTCTTATGTGTCCAAAGACAGGGAACTACAGACACACCTTTGTAGGAGGGTTCATTATTGATATTTCTCTCTCTCTCTCTCTCTCCTTCTCTGAAATCAACAAAAATATATCTTTTTTAAGTGACAACCTGAAACCTATATAATTTTATTAACCAATGTCACCCCAATAAATTAATTCTAAAAGTTAAAAAAAAGAAAATGACAACAGCCAACACAACAATAGCCGGCCAGTGTGAATGAGTCAAAATTATACCTTTGTTTTTGTCAAATCAGCAAAAAAAATATATAGTTTTGGTATGCCCAAGAATTTTAGTAATTTAGTTTATGTGTACCATGAGATGAAAAGGATTGACTATCACTATTGTTTGAGATTATACTCTAATAGGAAAAATAAAATGAACATAAAACAATACTACAAGAGGACCTCACAATGCTACTCTGATAATAGGACAGAGAGCTTAAAGTGAGAAACAATTCACCTGGAAGATTCTGAAATGAGACTGCTGACAGCACTCTAGCATCTGTAGGCACGTTTGCTCATCTGATCAGAGCCCCAAATTCTAGCCCTGGTTCTGCCCCTGATTGCATGCCCTTGGCCAAGATGTTGCCTAATCAAGACCGCATCTTTAGAAAATGAGGAAGAAATGACTCAAATAATCTCTGTGGCCTTCAGAGCTTTAAATGTTATGGTTTCTATGACTGCCTTTGCAATAAACAGGGAAGATTCATAGAGCTTAGGTTGACATGGACAAGATTTTGTAGACAGATTTGAGAGCTGAAGGACGAAGGAGGAAATACAAGAAAGTTTTTCAAGTAGAGGAAACAGCAAGAGTAAAAATACTGAGGAAGGAAAGAGTAGAAAAATGAAACTCCTACTTGGGCAACTGCCCTCCCCAAACTCTGCCATCCCCCCAGGCAGGAATTCTATATAGTGCTATATGAGAAGAGCCAGCAGAGGTCTAGAGTTTGGTCCTACAGAGTTCAGAAGTTTTCATGTGTGTGTTTTTTATGATTATGCTAAGTAAACTTAGAATTAATCAATTTATAAAACACAATGTAAACATATTAGCCCAGCCAGTGTGGTTGTTCAGTGGTTTTAGCATCAAGCTCTGAACCAGGAGGGTTATGGTCTGATTCCCAGATTAAGGTACATGCCTGGGTTGCAGGCTCATCCCCAGTGAGGGGTGTGCAGGAGGCAGCCAATTAATGATTCTCTCTCATCATTGATGTTTCTATCTCTCCCTTTCCCTAGCTCTCTGAAATCAGTAAAAATATATTTAAATGCATCAATATTCAATTGGAATACCTTCCTGTGGATTCACTCACAAAAAATGGCAAATTAGAAGACTATTTGGTGAGCCTAAAATTGTAACAAAAGAACACATAGTTTTGTGCTATGGTTGAAGTGACTACACAAGCCACAGTAAATATCCTAAATTACCCTAACCTCCTCCTAGATTCAAAAATACAGATTTCACAACCTTTTCAAAATATCCAGATTCCAAATGGAGAGATCTTAAATTTATCTAAATAACAATTTCTTATCCAATTAAAAAATTAAATACTTACTTGTAGAAGTTTAATAAACTCATTGGAAGTGTCACACATAATGCACAACCTAAAAGGAAGAACATTTAAATCATAATGATTATTATTCAAGTGACTTTTATAATAAGCACATACAAAATATTTAATATTTCTAGACTCAATCATTTTTAAATTCCAGTTTACTTCTGTAATGAAATACAATCCTTTTCTGAACAATATTTACAACTGGAAGAGTGTCAAGACAGTTTGATGATTCAGAGCAGACTTCAAGGAGCCAGTAGAAGTCTAGTTGAATAAACTATGGTACATCCACACAATAAAGCAATAGAGAATCTCAATGAAGAAATGGAGTGTAAAAAAAAAAAAAAAAAAAAAAATCTAGAGTTGAAAAGTATGATAAGTTAAATGATAGGTTTCATGAAAAATTCACCAGATAACTTAAAAAGCATGGGAGATAGCAGAAGAAAAAAATCAGTGAAGTAAAAGATGAATAGAAATGCCTATATAATAAAAGCCTAATATGCTAAGTGCTCGGTTGTCTGGTCGGCCATTCAACCAAAAGCGTAATATGCTAATGATATGCTAAGGCCACTCAACAGCTCACTGTGACATGCACTGACCACCAGGGGCAGACGCTCGGACCAGTAGGTTAGCTTGCTGCCGGGGTCCGGCCGATCAGGACTGAGTAAGATGGACCAGACATGCCCTGGAACTCTCCATCGGTCCCTCCCAGCTCTGATCGAGCAACGGTAGAGTCCCTCAGCCTGGTTTGTGCCCTCTTAAAATCCAGGACCCCTCGGGGGATGTCAGAGAGCTGGGTTTGGCCTGATCCCACAAGCCAGGCCAAGGGACCCGTCTGGTGCACAAATTCATGCACCAAGCCTTTAGTTAAATAATTAAAAAAATAGATAAAAAATATTACAGTAAAATTAATAAAGCTTCATAAAGATCACCTATAGGACAATAGCATGAAAGCATTCTAACATACATGCAAATGAAGTCCAGGGAAAAAGAGACAGAAAAAAAATCTGAAGAAATAAACTATGGTTGAAAACTTCCCATATTTAGTCAAAATATTAACTTACATATCTAACAAGCTCAAGACCAAGAACAAACACAAAGAAAACCACACCTATGTATACCACAGTCAAATTTTCAAAAGATAAAGAATCTTAAAATCAACAAGAGAAAAATGACACATTACATATAGGCTGACAATGATGTAAGAGCTGGCTCAGAAACAGTGGATACCACAGGACATTAGAATGACATATTCGAAGTAGTGGGGGGAGGAAACCAAAACAAAAATAAAAACATTTTCACATAAACAAAAACAGAGAATACAATGCTATCAGACCTGCTCTATAAGAAATACTAAAGAAAGTTCTTCAGGCTTCTGAGAAAGAACACCATATTTTAAGTCGGATATACAGGAAGGAATGAAGTGCAGCAGAAATGATAAATAGTTGATAATTATAAAAGACTATCTATATATATAAAAGCCTAAGCAACAGGCTGACTGACCGACTGCCGGTAGCTATAATGTGCACTGACTACTAGGGGGGCAGACGCTCAACACAGGAGATGCCAAGCAACAGCTACTTTGCAAAGTGCCCTCTTGCACTCCAGGACCCCCTGAGGGATGCCCGACCACCGATTTTGGCCCAATCCCACAGGCCAGGCCAATGGACCCCACCTGCTGGAGGGATCCCACTCACTCCACAGATGCCCTTCAAGCCCTGGAGTCACCCCAGGTGTGGCTGGCCAGGAAGGGACTGCAGGAGGTTGGTTCCAGGGCATGTCCAGCCCATCTTGCCCAGTCTCACCCACCACCTTCTAATTAATTTCCTTTCAATGTGCACCAATCCATCCACCGGGCCTCTATGTTATAAATAACAAAAGGGCTATAGGGCAGTTATGCATTTGAAACAAGACTGGCACTTAAATTGAAAACTGTTAAAGCCAGATGATGTCACATAGGGATCTATTACATAAAAGGAGAAGGAATAGCCCTCGCCAGTTTGGCTCAGTGGATAGAGCGTCAGCCTGAGGACCAAGGGTCCTGGGTTTGATTCTGGTCAAGGGCACATGCCCAGGTTGTGGGCTTGATCCCCAGAAGGGGGTATGCAAGAGGCAGCCTATCAATGATTCTTTCTCATGGTTGATGTTTCTCTCTCTCTCTCTCCCTCTCCCTTATTCTCTCTAAAATCAATAAAAATAAATAAGTAGAAAGAATAGAAAAAATATAATGTTTAAATTTTTTCATAATCAAAAAGAGGGAAGGGGGAGACTAGGGCGGGAATCTTGCTTTCTTGGTGGCCTGTATGTTGTACCCAAAGAAGGTAACCTTCCATAATAGCAAACAGGAGCCACTCCACCGCCTACCAATCTTTAATCATTCTTTGCCTAACCAGAGGCTCCAGTGCACCCCAGTCACCTCAACACCAGCACTACTAATTTTATTGGCAGAAACTAAGTAGCTTAAGCACTAAGGCCCTTCTATCTATCTGTGTCTACTCAAATCTAGTACTGGAAAAGTTACTCCACTGATTTGCACAAAAATGTGGGCTTTTGTTTTATTTCAGAGGGAAGAATTCAGTTAAACTTATAAATTACAAACAAAATGATATGTCCAATAAAGCACTCACTTAACGTTCAAAAGTATATCTCATATTATCAGAGAATTCCACCTAATCTTTACATTTAACATTTAAATGTAAAGTGCAACAAATTGCCATGTGATAAGCTACTTAAATCAAAAGATCCACTACATGATGGGAGATGAAAAATAGCCTTTTCAAGGTATGGTAATCACAATTTATATAGGTACCAAAAAGTGAACATTTGGTAGATTACAGCAGGGTTCCTAGAATATCTATGGTTCAGAGCCATGAAAAGAGCCCCACTCTTTTTCTGAAAGCCAGTGCCTAGGGCACCATCTTCTCAGCTGTTTCTAAACCTTACCTAATTCCGATTCCATTACCAAGGTTCACTAATACAGAGACAGAGCTATTTTTTTAGATAAGGAAACAGCAATAGCCAATAAGTAAGCTTTTTTACTTCTACAAAGGTGTTTAATGCTACTCCTGATGCCCCAAATAATCCAGATTCCTCTTCCTTTTTGCCTCTTTCCCTAAAAACACTCTCCCCTGCTCAATCACCCTGTAGATATCCTCTTCGGCTAAAATCAAAGGGAAACATTTCCATGATCAAAACCTTTACCTCGCATTCAGTAGTATGAGGAGGATATCAGATAAACGGAAGCTCCGCTTTTGGAGCGGATGTATTATAAAGCAATCTCTATTTCCTACAAACTAATCGTCAACTTTGAGATAAGTAGAAAATCTGTACCAAATGTCACCCACATGTGGATCCTCCAATACAACCTATATTATTTTAAGTTGTTCATAAGTTTGTGTGATCTATTTTGGTATTTTCTTCTCATTAAGAATAGCTTGAAGCTGAGAAACAGAGAAAGATACACAAAAGAAACCTTATTTTTCTTTATGATTAGGTTGAAATCCTATAGGGTTATAGGACAGTCGAAGAGGGGGAAGGGCATTGCTGCTTGTTATAATCAAACACTAGCTTTGATAACAAAGTGATGTTAAAACAGGCTTCAACATGGGGCTTCTTACCAATAATCATTGTAGTGAATAGGTCTCTATATAAGAAATTAAACAGGAAAGGTTCATACCAGGCCTCAACTCCCACAATCGCAGTCACTATGTAGACAAAAGAAATAGTCTGGAAGGAAAATGCAGACAAAAGCATACAGAGGCATTAACAGCTGGAAAGATCAGGGAGTCAATAATGCTTTACGCAGCATAAAACTAGTCAACAGTTTTAGCAAAAGCAAGAACTATGCTTAAATTTCATATTGTGGCAAGTCCTCTTGCCTTTAAATTTTTTTTTTTTAGCCAACAGTGCCATCAAATAACTTCTAAACAATGCAAGCAACTGGCCATCATTTGGAACACTTTAAGGCACCTTATAAGTTGATGAGGCCACAAGATGATCCAATTTGCCCACTTTCTTCTTCAAAAACATTCCAATTTCTGACTCTTTCCTGGAGCCTTAAGTGCAAATGGGCAAAATGGCAACACAAAAAGCTCAACTCAAAGGCAGGGAGAGTTAATAGCAAGCCTATGAAGTAAGAAAAAACAAATCTTGCTACTCACTGCAAAGTTGGTGACAAGAAAAAGTCAATAATTATGTACATCTTTTTTTTTTTTTCAAAACCAACAGTTAAAATGAAAGTTTATTCACATTAAGAAACTATTCATTTTTTTAATGTAATAATGGCATTTATGTTTAGTTTGTTTCGTTTTTACAATTTTCTTATTTTTATAGAGAGACAGAGAGAGGGAGAGGAACATCAATGTGAGAGTGAAACATCAATCAGCTGCCTCCTGTATATTCCCCACCCGGGACTGAGCCCGCAACCCAGGCATGTGCCCTGACCAGGAATCAACCAGAACCTTCCAGTGCACGGGATGACACCCAACCAAGTGTGTTTGTTTTTAAAAAGAGCTCTTACTGCCGTGGTCAGGTGGCTCAGATGCTTAGAGCATCATCTCTTATATGAAAAGGTGGCAGGCTTGATTCCCAGTCTGGGCACCTATCTTGGTTGTGGGTTTGATCCCCAGTTGGGGTGCATATAGGAGGCAACAGATCGATCTTTCTCTCTGACAGGGATGTTTCTCTCTCTCCCTTCCCTTTCTCTTTAATCAATTAAAAACACAAACACATATTCTCAGGTAATGATAAAAATAAATAAATAGATAAATAGATAGCTCTTACCATTAAGAGAGTAATAGTAAAATATTTATCATATAATTTCAGGAGTTTCCTTTAAAATAATTGAGCAGGGGGAGGAGGGGAGATAGGGTATACATGAAACTAGACTGGCCACGTGTTGATAACTGCTGAAGCTATGTAACAGATACATAAATAAGGGTTCACTATCCTATCCTCTCAACCTTTGTATATGTTTGAAACCTTTTCCACAAATAAGTAAAAATAATATAAAATGATTTTTTTAAAAGCACACATGGGTTCTAATTTTATAATAAAAAAAAAAATAATAATAAAAAAGCACAAGGGCAATAAAAAGGAATGATAAAAACTTCCCTCCCACAAACGGATGCAATACTGAAAATGTAAGTTAAAGCCCATACTCACCACCTGGCTAATGTCGTATCCCCACGGCAGGAAAAGAACTCCGGTGTTATACTTTTCCCAGTGGGACAGGATGAAAGAAAACAAAACCACCCAGAGCAGCAGGTAAAGAACAAAAACACTGACACCGGAAGGTCCTCGTCCAAAGATGGAATACACGGTGACGACAAAGTAAACACATGACCAGCTATCCAGGCCATGGTCAAAGAGCTCCCCTAACGGGGTGCTGGAGTTGGTTCTGCGGGCCTGCTTTCCATCCACACCATCTGCAATAAAACACATTCCCACAGGAACCGGTCAATTCTTACTCGTATGGAGAACGTCTTCTGTAATAAACTGTATAAAGCAAATCAGCATATCACAGGAATGTTAATTAATTGACGTACAGCTACCAGCCAGTACTATAAAAATCCAACCTTTAATTCCTATAACTCAAAGATTTCAGAAATAAAATTGGTAATTTCTCTCAGTTTAATCAAACCTCAGAGGAAAAGCAGGGGAGGATGGGTGGGTGGGAAGAAATCAATCAATCAACTTGTATACATATATGCATAATCTAGGGACCCAGGCAACAGAGTGGTGAAGGCCTGGCGGGGGAAGGGGAAGGCAGGCCGAGAGCAGTCAATGGGGGAGGAGGAGGACATATGAAATACTTTCAACAATAACCATTTTTAATAAAGAAATATTAAAATTAAAATGTTATATCACATTCAATGGTGTCAGTTTTAGTTCTGAGGAGGAAGCATTCTAGTTGGGCTCTGAAGTTCTCCTAATCTGCCTAACAATTGAATTGCCCCACTAGCCACAAATTCTCAAGCCTCCAGAGAACATTCAGCAGTTACTCATTATAACTCATCTAACCACTCCTTGCTCTGGGACCCAAAAACATTCTGTACTTAGCACCTATTTCATCTTGTTTGATATCACAGTCACTTCTTTCAGCTCTACCACCTCCACAATTTTAAGTGCTTTCAGAAAAAAAAGTTTTGCATATACTAAGTTTCAGTAAATGTAAGTATAGGGAGTGGCTATAGCGTTAAGCCTCGGATTGACCTGTGGCAGAGCCACAAACAAGTCCCAGCTTAGAGGGCAGAGGCCTCTTAGCATAATTAAGCTTGACTTTATGGCCGCTCCCTAGATCATTCCTACAGAGCTAATAGGCTGTGGGAGAGGCAGCAAGTGAAACTCACAAGAACACTGTAACTATTAGTGACCACTACCTTGTTTTTCTCTGACTATAAAATAAGCCTCAGCTTGCCAGCTGGATCCTTTTCTGTGTCCTCATCCAGGCACTGGGAGAGCCACTGAGCCCCAGCTATATTCTCTTTGTCTGTCTTCTTTAATCCTTCACTGCCCCTTCCCCAGGTTCACCCTTGGCTGTGCTGGCACAGCATGTAAGAATGTATGGAACCTATGCACTGCACTATTCTCAATTTTGTAAAGATTACAAGAATCTTAGAATAAACTAAGTTTATGTTTAACATTGAGAAAGGAGAAAAAGCTTGTCATGAAAGACATAGTGTATCACACCATAGAACCTACAGAAAAGAGACAGGTTTTCTTCAGGCTAAGACCTCTAGAATAGCTTTGAAGACAAGATGAAATCTGAGTGGGGACATAAAGAATGAGTTGGATTTCAGTAGACAAGAGATAAAGGAGTATGCCATTTCAAGAGGAGGGAGTGCTATCAGCAAAAACACCGAAATGGAAAAGCACATGCCTGTTCAGAGAAAGCCAAGTAGATTGGTTTGACTAGAAAGTCCTATGTGAAGAGGACAGTACACAGAGGCTAAAAGGGAGGTTTGGGCCAGTTTAACAGTTTTAGGGAGTAGGAAGAGCTATTAAAAGTATCTGAGTAGGGGAGTGACAAGGATGAAGTCAATGCAGTGTTTCCAGGAGATTCCCCAGACATCAGTGTGAATGACAAGCTGGAAGAGGAACAATTAATAAGCTAACACTGAGATGGAATGCGGTATGAATGAAAAGCTGGGGACTGGTGAGATATTAAATAAAAATGACAAGGCAGCAAAAAATGACAGGTGAGGCCAAAGGACAAGAAAACCACGCCCAACGTTTCCAATCTGAATAACACTGCAGTGGTAGTGTTCATTGAAACAAGGAAGTCAGTAGAAGGAACAAGAATGATAGAAAAGATGCTGAGTACAATTTCAGAGGCTGAAATTGAAGTGTTAGCAGGATATCCACACGGTAATGTCAAGCAATTCAACTTAAGGGTACTTATTAGTAACTCAAGATAAACAACAGCTAGCTATAAACAAAAGTCATCTCAATAGTGTTAAAAATCAGGATTACCAAGAATATCAGAAGAAAGAGAAAGTTAAGGATAAAGTATAATAGAGCACCTTCATTTAAGGACAGAAACAGAGGAACCTTGAGGGGAGGAAATGAAGAGGGACTTGGAAGGGGGAAAGGAAAGAAAGGAAGGAGGAAGGGGGGGGGGGGAGGGAGGGAGGATAAAATCTAGTTAAAAAAGAAAATTCTGAATTATAAAAACTTCTCAAAAGAAACAGTTTTGATAACTAAGTGCATTAGAAAATTAGGCTAATTGTAAAGATTCATATTTAGGGAATTAGAAATTCCTTATAATTGCTGTATTGTGTTTCTTGTTCACCACAGTATTACCCCAGGGCCTAGCTCAGTTTGTGACAAAGAAGGCTTTCAAAAACAATGAAGGAATATATTAAGGATGAATGCCAAACTCCTGCCCAAAGATTGCAGATCTCTCTTATATAAGGTCTTAATGCCCTTAATTAGCTAAAATATTTCCTAAGACTTTTCTCATTATTTGCTGGCTTATTTTCCTATTTTTAATGCAACTCCTATGGTTATAATAAATACTGAATTCATGAATTACATATTCATTAGGTTTTGTGCATCTTCTCACTGAACCCATTCTAGCTCCACATGTCTGAGGTCTCGATATGCTTCAGAGAGGGTTTTTGTTTTGTTTTTTTTTAAGAAAGGTAATTCAGGGAATATGCTATATATTATCCACAAACCCAGTAGGACCTAGAGCAGCATGCTGTGATCAAACACATTAATATTTCTGCAGCAAAATGTAAGAGCAGTCCCACTGGTAGGAATTAAAACTGTAAATTGCCTCAGGTTAATTCAAGATACATTTTGCAACAAATCGCGTTAGGTCAGGATTTCTGCCAGAACTGTGAACCTGAAACAGGGAGATTATACTGTACATCACAAGGTTCTTTATGAAATGCGAAATGTTAGAAGTTAGAGGGTTAGAGGCCACAGGCTAAGCTTCACCTTTCCCATAGAATTAGGCTAAATCCTCTAACTGGGCCACCAAATAGCAGAATTTTAAAACCTTCTCATCGTTAGTAACTTGATGTCCAGAACTCTCTACCTAAATATGTAACTAAGTTTTTGGGTTTTTTTTTTTTTTTTTTTTTTTTTAATTCTTCTAGACTTCACTTTCTCCTTCCCCCAAACTCTGGCAGCTCTGGTCATCCACCATAACTAGGTACCAGATTATACTGGTTTTATGTGTAGGTCATTTTTATCTGAAGAGGTCTAAGCAACTTGAAGTCAGGGTCTTCTACTTCTCAAGCATTTAAAAAACTATATACAGAGTGCCTACTGTGTTCTAAACTCTCGGTACACAGCAGTGAAAACAAAGTACCACCCTCAAGAAACATTTTGGAGCAGACAGACAACAAATAGGTAGGCAAGGAAATGGCTACCAGGTTATATGATTTTAAATGCTATGGAGAAAATAAAGCAGGAAAGGATATTAAGAGAATTCAGGACCAGCCATTCAGATAATCCAATGAAAAGCATTCTTGGCAGAACAGACAGTATGGCCTAGTACAGCAGACGTCCCTGACCATTCCTTCCCCCAAATAAGAACTGATCACTAACTTGCCTACTGTTCTCTCATGTCAGCACTTAAGGCAAAAATAATCTCTTGTTCTGTAAGCTGGCAAATATTTTTTGTAAAGAGCCAGATAGGACATAATTTAGACATTCTAGGCCATACAATCTCTGTTGGCAACTACTCTACTCTGCCTTGGTTGCAGGAATGCAGCTACAGACAATATGTAAAGGAATGAGCACAGCTGTGTTCCAATGGAATGTACTTAAAAAACCGGCAACAGGCCAGTTTGGCCCACAAGTGATAGCTTGCCAACTCCTATCTTATCCTTTAAATCCCTAGCGATGAGTAACAATTTTTTTTTCCCACAAAGAAACTCAAAAAACGTATTTATTAAATTGAACAGGATATTGATAAACCCTAGTTAAAATGAAGTAAGTATAGAAGAAAATGTTCACTCAGTGGTTGGCTATCTTTCCTGACAGATTCACCATCTACCGACTAAGGTGGGTATTTGCCAATTTCTTACCTAGAGTATAGGCAACGAAGTTGAGGATGCCCACCACAATCCAAACCCAGCCAGGAACGTGTTTGTGACCTGGTGCTGCAAAGGAAAGCAACTCAGAGTGTAATACAGTCTAAGTACCACCATTCCTACCACAGTATTACTGCCACATAAAAGAAGTCCCTACTTATTGCCGGGACCGGTTTGGCTCAGTGGATAGAGCGGCGGCCTGCGGACTGAAAGGTCCCAGGTTCGATTCCGGTCAAGGGCATGTACCTTGGTTGCGGGCACATCCCCAGTGGGGGGGGTGCAGGAGGCAGCTGGTTGATGTTTCTCATCAACGTTTCTAACTCTCTGTCCCTCTCAATTCCTCTCTGTGTAAAATAAAAAATAAAATAAATAAATAAATAAATAAATAAATAAATAAAAAAGAAGTTCCTACTTATTAAACAGAAGCTACAATACTGTACAATATATTTTGAATACAGAACTAGGTAAATATTAAAAAATATCAGTAGATTCTAGAAAAAATAAATAAAATACTGTACAACCCTTCATAAATAATAGGCATTTATTTTTAGCTTAAATCATAACTCATGATTGACTATTCAATCTTACTTAAAAATCCTATGTAGAATGAAAAATAATGTTTTTTAGAATTTAAAAATGTTAGTGTTTAATATGATCCACATTGTTTATAATTATATTACAACTATGTATTAAACCTTCAACTTATACTCTCTTACTGCACTAATTAGCTAAAAAAGACCTTTTGATTTGATACAGATAGATGACCTCAAGTGGATGATTCTGGCATTGGAATCATAATGAAATGTCTGGACTTCACTTTTACCCCCGAAGATAGAATCACTTAGAATTAGGGGGCCTGGGTTCTAGTCTTGGCTCTGTAACCAATGAGCATTGTGACCTAAATATGTCATTGAACCTCTCCTGTCTTCCATGTCTCAAATTGGGACTAAATGGTTGATCTGGTCCTTCAACTTGGTATATGATTCAGGAAAATATATATAATATTTACATGTTTTTAGTTCTCTTAATAACTAAGTAAATATTCTTATTTAATTCAAGAAAATAATATTTCTAGTTAGAAAGTAAACTTCTGAGATTTTCCTGAGGATTAAAATGCAAATTTAAAAAAACACATTATCAAAACCAGACTTAATGAAATTTAATCTTTCTTATTATTCATATAGTACTTTATAATCTTCCATTACCACTTTATCACATGTACAGAAGCTATGGCTAAAAGTTTCAGTGGTTAAAATATACAGAATTTCTATAATAGCAAAACTCCTAAGTGTTTCAAAATCCAAACTTTCCTACAAAAACAATGTTTTCAATGATTGTTAATTTTTTCAGGTCAGTCCACAGTCTGCTGAACCTAGAACACAGATGAATTATAATACAAAAACTCCTAACTACATCATTTATAAATATTCTTATTGGAAAATATATTCTCTAACTCAGAATGAAAAAATATTTATCTACCTTCATCTTTCTATTTCTCGCAACTTCATCAACTGGATGAATGATAAAAATAGATCCTGTCTCGCAGTATCCACCCCCATCCCAAATGCACCCAGACTCACTCCTATTGCCAGAGCAGAAGCTGGGTGTGGAAGTCAGCAAAGACAGGAATGGGTGTGAGAGAAGACACTGGAATCCCAGGTTGGAGCAGGCTGAAAACTGCCTCCCCAAAAGTGACTTTTGCCTGTGTTCCCTGATAAGGATCCAGACTCTGTCAATAATTACTTAAAGGTCTAAGAATCATTTTTAGAGGAAACTGGAAATTGTAAGAAATAAGAATGCTGAGCAGAGGGAAAGCAACATTGCATTCCATTTAGAAAATGCGATTTTTTCTCCTCTAACTAAAACAAAGGAAGAGGTATTTCTGAAATTGGTAGGTAGGTTGGACTCTAGTTAGATTCATTTTCAGGTAGTTTTGTAGTCCTACTCCTGTATCTTCTTATAAATCGTCACTCTATATTTACTAAAGTCTTATGCTTTTGGACAGCATTTCTAAATTAAATAGGCAAGTTAGTTTCTAGAACTTAATAGGAACACACATGTAGACTGTGAAAACACATCTTAGCTTTTATACCCAACTTTGACATTTTATCCTTATTACATCTAACACTTTTCAAAATATAGCATCTTAATAAAAACAGAAAATAATATCATTTCTCTATTTAGACATTTCAAATGTTATATTAAAAGTAATAATCTTACCTGAAGCATAAAAGTCAGGATCAAAGTATGACAGAAGTAGGAAATTGAATACAACCAGCAGAAAGCCAGAAAAAGTTATCAGATTTGGAGCCAGCCAAGTAGGAAATACCTATTTTTTTCAAAATAATTAAAATATAATTAAACTAGAGGAATATCTCTGTCCACACACAGCACAACATGCAAATTTAAACTATAAGAAAAGCTATAATTTAAAAGATCAATTGCTGTTTCTCACATTGGTGTTTCTCTTTCTCACTCTCTAAAATCAATAAAAACATTTTTTAAAAGATCATATGCAGGAGTTATTTATAATAAAATGCAAACCACAATCTGCAATTGATAGAAGAAAGCACTTCTTTCTTCTTTCTATTCTGTTTTAAACAATTCTATATTTAATGAACATTACATTTATTTTAGAAAATTTTACAAAACTATGAACTCCTGAGTATAAACTGAGATTTCAACAATGAGTAAATCAAAAGGTATGTGACTAAGGGAAAGGAGATAGGAGGAGGAGTTTCTCTAGATATCTTGTTAAACTGACAGTTTTTAATAAGGTATCTATAAAATGTACTAAACAGTTTATTTATTTTATTTTTTTAATTTTATTTATTTTTACATATTTTATTGATTTTTTTTTTGCCCCCCTCCCTCCCTCCCTCCCACATATCCCCTCCCTCCCCAGAGTTTTATGTCCATTGGTTGTACTTATATGCATGTATAGAAGTCCTTCGGTTGATCTATTATCTCTCCCAGATAAACAGTTTAAAATTTTAAAATTACTAAAACAAACGCATGCCTATTAATCATCTTACCTTTACTATAGTGTTCCAAAATGGATGCATGACATACAGAGAGAGTGGGTTGGTATCGACAGCACTGTACTGTTGAGAAATATAAGAAAATATTCAGAGTTAATCTTTACATGCTTGCAAACAGAATAATGTCTTAACTGAAAATAACAGTACAAAAGTAACTTGGAGAACATGTCTATTTACATGTCATCATCTGAATAATAAAACTGGAGGAACAATATAAATGAGGCCAAAACTGTCAAGCACAGCCAAATATTTTTTTTAATTCAACCTTTACAATAGTTTCGTGTTTCAATAGAAAAATCTGTACTGCTTATGTGCTCTCACTCACTATACAGAATCAAGATCGGTAATATGCACACTGTGTGCATTCAAACATGCTCATGCATCTTCTCACTCAACCTCCTTCATCCCTTGAATTAGAGGAATCTAGTTGTTTTACCACTTGATACTACCATTACTAGTGTACTTACTATCTGTGTTCCCTTGAGGAAGTTACTTATCATAGCTTCTTCACCTATACTATGGGGATAATAACTTTATCCTCAAAGGATTGCCAGGATTAGTTAAGCTAATAATGGACATGAAGCAATTATAGTAGTTCCTGGCCCACAATAAGTCTTATATAAGTTATTGAGCTATTTAGTTAAAAAAAAAAAAAAAGAAGAAGAAGAAGAAGAAAAATTAACAAATATTTGTATATAAATATGTAAAACCTTAAAAGTGATGTTGATGACATTCATCAGACACACATTAGAGTACCTGGCATGTAGCGAGCACTACACGAGGTATCGTGGAGAAGGGATAATACACAATCGGTAAGGGGCAATTTCCACCTTCAAGAAGTGGGAACATTACCTAATTCATCCAGCCAACATTTAAACAACGCTATACTAGTCACATGTTTGAAAAACATTTGCCCATGTTTTGTACTTATGCTTAGTATGTATATAAAGTAATTAGTGACCATTTTCTTAGGTGCAAAAATAGAATATTGGGGAGTAGCTATAGTTTTAAGATATATTAAGCATGTTCTGTTAACCTTCATTGTTTTGTTCTAATTTAAGAGAGCACATTCTAACCTGGCTGGGAGTTGTATACTCTCCAGAGACCTGAGGGTCAACCTTGAAATTCAGTCTATTCTCATTTATCATGGAAAGATTAATAACTTGGTTGCCCAAACAATGGAGTCTCACCCCAGCTGGCATTGCCTACTTCCCCATGCTAGTAACACCCATATCGCATGCCTATTCTTATTCCTTCTGCCTACTTCCCCATGTAACCTTTGTGTACCCCAATATAAGCAGCTGGCTTATGGGGGGCTGCAGAGCAGATTTTTATAGAAGATCTGCTGCTCTCCTATACTGCCAGCAATATTGGAATAAACGCTCATATATGATTCAACCCTGACTCTGCTTACTTGGCTCAAGGAGTAACAGGCAGCCTGGGCCCACTGACTGGTTTCAACTAGAGTGTCTAATTTTTTTAAAATCATAATTAAAGGTCAAAATTTCTTCCTGAAATTATTATGAATATGCAGGAAGTATTTCCTCATTAGTGTTTCAAGACTTAAAAGAATGATGGAAAAAGTCAATAGAAATATTTTAAAATTTTTCACTGCAAGCAAAGGGAATCAAATGTTTACTCAACAGACTCCATGTCAAGTGCCTCCACTTCTCCATCCCATTCTGATTGACATGGGACAATGTGGACAAAAGATCTGAGATAAATAGTGGGAGGAAAATGGCCATAGAGAACATAGTTTGCCATTGCTGGCCTGATTTAGAAGCTACACTGTTGCATTCAGACTCTCAGCATGAGCCTACTTAACCGAGTATTATCCTGTTCTAATCAAAAACAACTTTCACTTGCATGGTTCTCTACAGTCAAAGAGGCTTTTCCACGTAATAGATAACATTACACCTGAACGTCCGCAGAATGACAGAGTTCCCAACTGACATCATGCCTGAATTCAAGTCTTCAGACCGGAGGACATGGAACCAATATGAATGCCCAAGGTAGAGGTGGGGAACACTCGGCCCTCGGGCCAAATAAGGCCCTGTCAAGACATTAGGGGTGAGTTAATTAAATGTTTGACCAAATAGCCGAAACCGGTTTGGCTCAGTGGTCTGGGGACTGAAAGGTCCCAGGTTCGATTCCGGTCAGGGGCATGTACGTTGGTTGCGAGTACATCCCCGGTAGAGGCTGTGCAAGAGGCAGCTGGTCGATGTTTCTAGTTCTCTATCTCTCTCCCTTCCTCTCTGTAAAAAATCAATAAAAAATATATATATTTTTTTAATTAAGCAGCATTTCCCATTAAAATTAGCATGCAGTTGTTAAAAAAAAAAAACTACTAAGATAAATGTTTGATCAAATATAGTAGGCTAATTTTTAAGTAAATTTTGTACGGCCAGTAAATGAATGATGTTATAAATACCCAAGTGCCCTTGGCAGAAAAAAAGTGGCCCCTGGTAAGGGATACTGATGACAAGGTGGGAAAGTCCTGTCCTCCTCCACTTCACAAAAGTCTGCACCCAGACATACACACATGATGTAGCCGGCAGGACAGACAAACTGGAAAACCCCACATTTCAAGTCCACCATCTACTGCAAAATACAAAAGTTGTAAGAAGTCCAAATCAGAAGAATAGCTAATCACACAAATAGCTAATTCGACACCCATAGTACAATGCTCTTAATTCAAATGTTTGCTGAATGAGTCTCATTCAGCAGCTTCCCAGAATTTGACTTAGTTCTAAAAGAAGGTTCTTAATTGATGGTATTTTGATTTGAAAAGCTTTTCTTTTAAATTCTGACATTTTAACACTAAATCTCTACTTCAAGAAACCAGTTAGAAGTATGGAAAGAATATAAAAACTAAATACAAGAGTTCAGTTTGTCTAAATGGATTTTTTACATTTAATGATTAGCTGATGAGCAAGTAAAGCAAGAAAGATTAAGGTAAGATTACAAAAGACAGCAAGCAGTAACCCTGCAGAACACTGTTTATTTAGCCTTACACACCTGAGTACTTTTTAAGGCCACTTATCACTTGATATAAACAAAGACATTTGAAACCTTCTCGGGAATCAATGGACAAAGAATGATTCAAACCTTCCGCATGCAGAAAAAAAACAAGCAAAATATTAGATTTTAAAGGTGTTAACTAGACTAGGTTGTTTGGTAATACATGCAAAATATATTTTTAGTTTTCATTAGAATGATGCTTTGGGAGGATATTCCACAGTGAAGGCCCACTGTGACTTCTTTGGTTCCACAATCTGCTGGGCCAGACTAAGCTAGTGCCTTGGAGAAATGCTTAAGGACAACAGCTTGAGTTTGAGAGAATCTTTCCAAGGCAGAATCTCAGAACCTTATCAAGTTAAGCAGACAAGGGTCTAATTTTTTGTCAAAACAATAGTCCTTCAAATATGTGAAGACAGCTTTCCCTGTCACACCTACATCTCTCTACCTGGCTTAACATCCCATGCTCCTTTGCTGCTCCTCTTTGGCATGATTTCACTCTTCTTCATCAGAAGGTGTAGTTCCCTAGACTAGAGGCTGAAAAGCATTTTCAGTAAAGGGCCAAATAATAAATATTGTAGGCTTTGCAGGCCGTGTGGTCTCTGTAACAGACACTCAACATTGCCGCTAACGCAGGAAAACAGTCACAGAAAATGAGCAGGGCTGTATTCAAATAAAACTTTATTCACAAAACAGGTAGCCTAAGAGTTTTATTTTGAAACCTGGGCTCTAGAGTCTAGACAATCCAATTTGTTGTTAAACCAACACAAAGGTGTGATCTGGGGCAAAAGGAGCATTTCAAGTGGTGCACTGAATAGAACAAGAACATGGCTATAATGCTCTTCTTCCTCAATAACTTATTTCTCTTGATGCTCAACATTATTAACTTCCTGTGGCAACAAAATCGTACTACAGACTTACGTACAACTTTCAGTCATCTGAACCCCTCAGGCATTTCTGAAAAAGACTGCTAAGCCACCTTTCTCTATACTAATATGAATTTGACTATTGGAACCTCAGTGTAAACTCTACATTTACTATTTTAACATTTCATCTTGATAGAGAAACTCAGCTCATCTTTCTATCCCTCCAGGTCTCTTCAGATTCAGGCTGTTGTCCAAGGTAATAATAGCTATGCCTCCCAAAACTCTCAGCATATCTGTCATGCTGGTAATACCTTCACTAAAGTCTTTGTAAATATGATGATCAAGGTAAAAATTCTAAACATTTCCCTCAAAATTGCTATTACTACATTTAATAATTTTTATTTGGTTATACAATTCTATACTGTCATCTACAGCAATTACTCTACCTGGCCTACAAGAAAGGATACTCATAAAGTCTTAGGGAAATCCAAAATTACCTTCGATAGCATTTTGTCAAATATTAGTAAGTTTCAAAACATTTTTTACTTCAGTACAAGGAAATAAAACAGAGTCCATTCTTCATTCATTCATTCATTTATTCACTAAGTCAATAAATATTTTTAATTGAATGCCTTAATTTTTGCCAGGCACTGCTCTAGGTTACTGGGAAGAGAATGATAAACAAGATCAAAATGTTTCCTATGTTTATCGAGTCTACAGTCTAGTGTGAAATAGACGGTAAGCAGGAAAACAAGTAATAATCACAAGTTGTGATAAAACTCTGGAGGAAATAAAGAGGGTGTTGTGCATGAAGATAATGGGACAGGAAGTGTGCCTCACCATAGTCAGAGAAAGCTTCTCTAAGGAGAGGAGACTGAAGCTGAGTCCTAGAAGATGAAGAGACAGTCAGGTAAAGAATGCATGAGACATGCCATGGCCAGTGTGGCTTAGCTGGTTGGGTGTCATCCTGTGCCCACAAAGGTTGCTGGTTCGATTCCAGGTCAGGGCACATATCAAGGTTGCAGGCTTAGTCCTGGGGAGGGGATGTGCAGGAGGCAGCTGATCAATGTTGCACTCTCACATGAATGTTTCTCTCTCCCTTTCCCTTCCTTTCTCTCTAAAAATCAATAAGCTATTCTTAAAAAAAAAAAAAAAAAAAAAAAAAGAGAGAGAGAGAGA